AAAGAATTGTGAGAAGAGTCTTTGAGAACAAATTTATAAATGACAGAGAGCCTGAAAGGCACCAAATGACATACTAAGAGAAACCGTGGGATTTTCTTCACTGGAGAGTGTTAAGAAAAGAGTATTACCGCCTTCCAATTATGATTTCATATCTATTCTCCCCAAAGACACATGTACTTGAAACCCCTCCTGGCCCCATAAGAGTGGATTCTATGGTCCTGATGAGATTGTGTGCAATAGAATCACTTCTCCTGGAAAGGAGACGCTAAAGGGTACTCGAGTAAAATATTAAAAATTATGAAGGACATAACAAAGGCCAATCAGTTCTTCCTTTTCCCCAGACCCCATAATATGAGAACAAGGGTTATTTGATGAAATTAAAGAGTAGCAAATTAAGTGCTAATAAAATGAGATAGTCACTTGTAATTCATTACCATGGGAGGTCACAGAGGCAAATTCTGTGGCTAGATTAAACATGGGGCTGGGTAATTTTATGACCACTAGTGATATTTTTAGCAGTGGAGCCTGATACTGTGAGCAAGGTAATCCTATTACATTCTCCAAGAGATGGTTTGCAGGAACCTCTGGCAAGTGGTATCTGAGAAGTGTGAGAGTAGGCCTCACGGGTTCTAACCTTTGGTGGGGATTGTACTAAAAATTAGTTTTTAAGATGAATGTCTTCAGGTATCCCATTCACGCTCAGTCCCGACTTCTCTTGTGGAGATCCAAAAGTCCTCTCTAATCAGAAGCAATTAGAGTACAGTTTCATTATACCTGATGCTAAGTCCTGGGGATCTATTATATAGTAACATGACTAGAATTAACCATGCTCTATTGTATACTGGAAACGTGCTATGAGGTAGATCTTACATGTTCTGCGTACATACACCCCCAAAAAGGTAGATGTGTGAGGCAATGGATATATTAATTACCTTGATTGTGGCAATTAATTTACGGTATATATATAATGTATATCAACACATTAAGTTGTAGCCCTGGCTGGTGTGGCTCAGTTGATTGGAGTGTTGTCATATACATGCAGGGGTTCTCAACCTGTGGGTCGCGACCCCTTTGGCGGTCGAACGACCCTTTCACAGGGGCCGCTTAAGACCATCCTGCATATCAGATATTTACATTACGATTCATAACAGTAGCAACATTACAGTTATGAAGTAGCAACGAAAATAATGTTATGGATGGGTCACAACATGAGGAACTGTATTTAAAGGGCCAGAAGGTTGAGAACCACTGCATTAGAAGGTGGTGGGTATGATGACCAGTCAGGGCACATACCCTGGTTCTGCAGTCCAGTACATGTAAAAGGCAGCCAATCAATGTTTCTCTCTTTCTCTTCCTTCCTCCCTCTCTAAAGTCAATAAAAAAATTAAAATAAAATCCCCACACAAAAACAAAGAGCAAGTGGTACACCTTAAATATATGTAATTTTTATTTGTCAATTATACCTCAATAACGCTGGGGGGGGGATAAACATTAAAAATAAAAAGAAAGACTTTAAGAATAGATCATTTCGGGACTTCGGGAGCCATTTGGCTAATTTATTGAATGCTATCCATGTATTAAGCACTTTGCTTGGATTTTTAAAAATCTGTTGGGAGAATGAGCCTTTAGAGAAATTAGTGCCATTCAGAACGAAGGGGAGGGTACTGAAGGCAGATTGTAAAGGAGTTCATGGAAGAAAAAAGAAGCCAAAATAGCTCAACCTCTGTGGTTCAGAGAGGGTTCACGGAGAAGGTGACATTTGGATTGAGAATTCTTTATGGAGATATAATTGACATGTAACACTGTCTTAGTTTTTATGTGTACAACATACTGAGTTGATAAATATATTGTGAAATAATTGCCACAATAAAATTAGTTAACCTTCATCACCGTGCAGTTATAATTTTTTTCCTTGTGATGAGAACTTTTAAGTGATTTTAAATATGCAATATAGCATTATTAACTGTAGTCACCATACTGTACTTTGCATCCTTATGACACTGATTTTGTTACTAGTGTAGAAGTTTGTTCCACCTTCACCCATTTCACACCCAACCCTCCACACCCTGCAACCACCAATCTGTTCTATGTATCTCTGAGTTCAGCTTTTTTTTTTTTTAATCCTCACTGGAGGATATTTTTCCATTGATTTTTGGAGAGAGTGGAAGGGAGAGGAAAAGACAGAGAGAAATATTGATGTGAGAGAAAAACATCAATTGGTTGCCTCCTGCATGTGCCCCGACCAGGGCCTGGGCTGGGGAGGAGCCTGCAGCCATGGTACATGCCCTTGAGCGGAATCGAACCCAGGACCTCTCAGTCCACATGCCTACGCTCTGTCCACTGAGCCAAACCAGCTAGGGCTGAGTTCAGCTTTTTTTAGTTTTTTTCTTTTTTAGCTTCCACATCTAAGTGAGATCATATAATATTTGTCTTTGAATGAATTATTTCACTTAGGGTCATGTTCTCAAGGTCCATCTGTAGTGTTACAAATGTCAAAATTTCCTTTTCCATGACCAAAGAATATCATAACATTCCATTTAATTCTTTATTCATTCGTCAGTGGACAATTAGGTTGTTTCCATATCTTGGCTACTGTAAAATAATGTGGCAGCGAAAATGGGGGTGCCCATGTCTTTCTGATTTAGTGATTTTGTTTCCTTTAGGAAAAAATCCAGATGGAATTGCTGAATCATTTGGTAGTTTTGTTTTTCATTTTTCTGAGTAACCTTCATACTGTTTTTCAGAGTGGCTGCACCAATTTACATTCCCACCAACAGTGCACAAGGGTTCTCTTTTCTTTATATCCTCACTAACACTTCTTTGTCTTATTTTTAAATGTGTGAGACGATAGCTCATGGTGGTTTTGGTTTGCATCTCCCTCCCGATCAGTGATGTGTAGCATCTTTGCATGTACCTGTTGGCCATCAGTATGTCTTCTTTGGAAAAATGTCTATTCAGATCCTTGAACTGAGTCTCAGAGGTTGAGTAAGGGCTCACTGTCCAGGCGAGATAAGGAAAGGTGTTCTAGGCAGAAGGGACCGGCAGCCTGCACAGGTCCAGAGACAGAGCATGGTGGAATGTGTCAGTGAACTCCCAGGGCGTTGGAAAGGCTGTGCCACAGAGCTCAGTTGGCAGAGAGGGAGAAAACGGGGCATGAGAGGGAGGAAGAAGTCAGATTATGAAGATTGGGATTGCCTGAGACCTCTCTGGCAGCCGTGGCCGCAGTGCGTGGGGAGTAGAGAAGAAGTGGGGAGATGCTTCCAGGAAGTGTCACATGAAATAAAGGATAGCCCCTCAAGGTGTGCCCCACCGTCATAGGCTTCCCTCTTTTGACCGCTGTCCATGGCTGCCTGCTGGTGAGTATTGTATTTCACCCAGCTGCTTGCTTCACTCATTTTTACTATCTGCCGGAAACATTCTTTTCCATGAACTTGATCACCATTAGTAGTAGTTAAAAAAAAAAAAAAGAGCCCCCTGCCTTTGGTTAGAGAGAAGTTCTTATAGGTCTCAGAAAAACTAGGATGAGTCCAGTGTGTCTGTCTGGTTCTGTTCCCTTGGGGTGGGGCGGAGGAGGCAGATTTCATGTGTCTGACCTTAGACTCCAGTTCTCTGTGAAGTTGGTTAAGCAGACAAGCAGGAACAGATGGATTGAAATGTTAAAAATCTGTTTGTTAAATGATTTCGGCTAACACAATCATTAGGAAAAAAGCACCCAGACTATGTTCCTTCTTCAGTGATATTTAAAGTAAGAATATCATTATTAATCATTCAAATGCTAACTTGCAATTTCTACACCATCGAATGGAAATGAGAGAAAGAGAGAGAAGTAGAGAGAGAGTCTTTTGTAGAAACTATCTTTGTAGTTTTATTTTTGTGGTAGATGCAAATGATTTATTATTTGTGTTGTTACATAGTCCAGTATGCAGTCAGCAGTTCCCCCCATCGCTTTATAAATAATTGTTGAATGGTGACACCTTTCCTCTTGAGTAACCTTTTCTACAGTAGTCCTTTAAGGCTCTTCTGAGAAGATTCTTTAAAAACATGAGGTTGCTAGAGGGATGTAGAATGAGGTTGGCTATAGAAGGTAAATGGGTGAGGCCACCCGTGTTACAGAGTGTTGGTGGGTGCAGTTGCACTGCGTGTGCACCCGACACTGTGTTTGGTTTGGACACTCTGAGATGAGTAAGGTCATGACTCACAACATAGGAAATACAAGAGACAATTTTACCCCAACTCCAATATGAACTGATACAAGTTCCCCAGTAGAGAGGGATCCACACGTTGGCTCTGTGCGGGGAGCTGGCAGTGTTTTCACAAAGAAAACCGTACAGGCTGGGTCTTAAAGTAGAAATTTCAGTCAACCAGTGGAGAACGGCGGGTGGGATGGCGTCGGAAAGAGCATTTCAAAACCGAAGCAACAGAGATGTCTCCTGGAATTTTGAGCAGCTTGTTTCCTTTCCTTTTCCTAACCTCTGCTATATCAATGTTGTAATTTCTAATACATTCTGAAAAATTCCCCTTTGAGGAAAGAATGGGCTGTATCATGTCAGCATGTAGTAGATATTAATCTTGTCAGCAAGGGGGTAGTGATTGAGGATTCCTTTAAGGCCCAACATCAATTCACTTAAGTATGGTTTAATCGTTTGCTCTCCTGGCCTGGGCACTCACACATAAGTCTTCGCTGTCAGAAGTGAGGCACGTGGCCCGGGCAGCACAACATTTCCCCCCCATTGTTAGACACGTCCGTGTAATGAATCAATGCAAGCTCTTCCGGTTCCAAATGTACTTAACTTTCCACGAAGCATGCCTTTTCATGACTGGGCTTCTTTCAACAAGGTTATTTATTTGTAGTTGCGCGAAAAAGAAACATAAGCTCTAAGAGAGCTGTGGTGCCAGATGATAAATATATCCTTTCAAGGGCCGCATTAAAAAAAAATAATGGGTGACTGTATTTAATAAAACTTCTTAAGTTTTAAAAAGTATTCTTCATTCCCTTTTAGACCTCAGCTGGATCTCCAAAATACAAGTGAATCAACCGGCGGTCCTGAGACGCGCCCAACAAATCCAGGCCCGCAGGACCGTGAAGAAGGAGTGGCAGGTACGGCTTCTCAGTGCCTGTACCTTCCAGTGCCTGGCTCTTCCCTCAAGGCCGCAGTATTGAATTTCGCTCAAGATGCATCTAACCTTAAAAGATTGCAGCTGTCCATGACTTATTTTAATAATTCATATATGATGATGATGGGTTGGAGAAAGATAACACATTTATCCAAACAAGTTAAAATGGTTATCACTCTTGAGTGGCAAAGCCGCAAATGATTTTGAGGCATCTTTATTCATGAGTGCACTCAATGGCATCTTTTCTCAACACATTTATTCAGTTTCTTAGACATACCTCCTTTGAATGGCTTCTATTTTAATTTTCAAACCGTAACATCCAAACCTGGTGGGCCCACTGTTGAGGCCCTTAGGTGACCTCCTTTGACCATCGTGTTTTCCTTCGTATTAATTTTCATAAATCATGTTTCAAAATTCAGAAAAATGATGTTGCGTGGAGTACTTGTGGTCAGCATATTCTCCTGTGGATACCAACCAAAGACGTGCTGTGCCTCGCAGGACTAAAGGAATTGAGAGTCCATTTTACCAGGGAGGCAAAGTGTTGTGATCGAATCCTTTTGGGTTTACATCTCACATTTTGTTCATCTTTGGAGATATGCTGATTGAAAAGTTAAAAGGAAACTAGTCAGAATGAGTTGTGAGATATATTATTTAAAAATGGAATTGGATTAAATTGAAACAAACAAACAAAGGAGTTGAGTTAGGGAGTCTTTTTTTGTTGTTGTTAACCCTCACCCGAGGCTATTTTTCCCATTGATTTTTAGAGAGAGTGGAAGGGAGGGGGAGAGGCAGAGAGAGAGAAATATTAATGTGAGAGAGATGCATCGATTTGTTGCCTCCTGCACATGCCCTACTGGGATCGAACCTGCTACTGAGGTACGTGCCCTTGACTGGAATTGAACCCTGAACTCTTCAGTCGGAGGGCTGGTGCCCTAACCACTGAGCAACCAGTGAGGGCATGGAGTCTTTTTATACTATCTCATCTGAGATCCTAGGGCTGGAGGTGGAACGTAAGACAGAAATGCCCTTGTTCCCACGTTCTTCCCTGTGGGGTAGCTGTGAGGGGCTCCTTGTGAATGAGATGGAGCAGTCAGGTGTGGGGAGACTGGATCTATGAGGGATTTCAGATTGGAATCTATGGGAGAAAAAAAAAGTAAGACTGCTCTTCCCCCTTTTATTTTATTCTATGTGACCAACTCAGGTTGTTGGTCATTCTTAGCAATGTCTATAACAGAATGATATGCTGTGAATAGTATACATGTCAGCTTTTAGCATTCATGTTTGTCTAGTGATTCTCTGCTAACTAACTGGGTTGGAGATTGATTTTTTTTTTTAACCTTAGTTTTATTTTTCTTCAAACCAGGCTGCTTGGCTCCTGAAAGCTGTTACCTTTATAGATCTTACTACACTTTCGGGCGATGACACATATTCCAACGTTCAAAGGCTCTGTTATAAAGCCAAGTATCCAATCCGGGAGGATCTCCTGGAAGCTTTAAATATGCACGATAAAGGTATTGTATGGTGCATAATGTGTCTGGGTTTTTCCTTTGTACAATGCTGATGACTAAATCCAGAGGACTTAAGACAAGATTCAGCTGCTAAAATGATAGCAACAATAAAATCCAAGTAATAGAATTGTGTACACAGACAAATAATTAGATTCTTCTCTGAGAAACAGCAGGGAGAGAATCTGAGTCTTATGTGTAGGCCTGTTCTTTCCATCATGGATTCAAGTTGCTGGTAGAGAACTTCTTGATTTTTCTTTTCATTTCTTCAGTTTTGGAAATTTTCTATCTAGTGACTCTAAAATACTGAGTCTGATTCCCCAGCCACATGTGAAAAAGCCAGTCTCATTACTTAATCATCACATCTCATACATAAAGTATTTTCTGTGAGCAAATGAAATACTTTTGAGAATAAAATGCAAATGGGAAATATTACATGCTTGTATATTAGGTTCGATCTTTTGAGAAAAGTTTTATTCACTTTCTTAGTATACATGAAAGAACTTATAGCAACTTTAGAAAGTTGCTATAGGTACAAAACTTTAATATTTTAGAAATGGAGGAGGCCTTTGAGAGTCAGTCTCCTTATTTCTAATTTTTCTTTCTAAAAAATATGTATCTTTATTGATTTCAGAGAGGAAGGGAGAAGGAGAGACATAAAAACATCAATGATGAGAGAGAATCATTGATCGACTGCCTCCTGCATGCCCTACACTGGGAATTGAGCCCACAATCCTGGCATGTGCCCTGACTGAGAATCGAACTGTGACCCCGTGGTTCATAGGTCAATGCTCAACAACTGAACCATGCTGTTCGGGCTCTAACATTTCTAAATGAGGAGATCAAGACCTGGATGGCTAAATGCTGTTTGCAGGAGGACGTGCCCTGTTGTTCGCTGGGCTGGTGTCAGAAGCCAGGTCTTTCCATAAAGGGTGTCTGTAATGAGTGCAACTGGATATGTAGATAAGTTGTAGGCCTAAAAATCTGGACAGCTTTTGAAAAATATTTATGATATTTTCTTGAGTTGACAATAAAAACAATACCTACTAGTAATACTTAATAGTAACAGCTTTGGGGGAGAGGGGCTGAAAATGTAAGAACTCTGTATGCTTTATGTTATTGTTTTGTTTTAAAGTGTTTAATTTAATTTTAATTTTTGTAAGAGCTTATTCCTCAAAATGGAGGTTCCAGATTTATTTACTAGAGGTCCAGTGCATGAATTTGTGCACAGGTGGTCCAGCTGGCTGCCCTGATGGGGGCCCATTGGGCTGGGCCAGCAGGGAGGAGGGGCCGAGGGCAGTTGGCCGGCTGGCCCCACCCCTGATCGGGGTGGGAGGGGCCAATCGAGGGCCAGACCAGCCCTGGGTGGTGGGGGTGCTGATCGGGGTCTGGATCAGGCTGGTTGGCTGTCGCATTATGCGTCATAGCCACCGGTCATTCTGGTTGTCCTGCCGCTCCAGTCACTGGGCTTTTATATATATAGATTATTTTTTATAAAAGAGGGGGTAGGATTAATTAAATGTCATTTTGCTATACTACCCTGTAAGGTTAGCTTATATTTTTTTTCATCCACTTTCTGAATGCTGGAAAAATCTGGATTTTGTTAATTACATGAAATAAGATATTTTTATTGACCCAAGACCACCACCCTTATTATTTAAGAATTTAAAAAAAGTCGTGTTATGTTAACTTCAAAGAACAACGTATCACAATTGTTTTATTCTATGACTGTAACGATGAGAAAATGGTCCATGTTGTCAAGAACTGGAAAGAAATGTGGAAAATAAAAATCGAACAGACTGTCAGATTACAGTGGGAAGGCTGGGGAGTGTTGGCGGGGGAGGGTAGAAGATCAACTGAAGGCTTTGATGGATGCAAATAAGCATAACCAATGGAC